TGGGGATTGAGCCCGCAACCCAGGCATGTGCCCTGACTGGGAATCCAACCATGACCTCCTGGTTCATAGGTCAATACTCAACCAGTGAGCCACACTGGCCAGGCTGATATTTTATTTTTAATTAGAAAGAGAGGGAGGAAGAGAGAGAAACACTGATTTGTTGTTCCACTTATTTATGGATCCTTGGTTGCTTCTTGTATGTGCCCTGACCAGGGACCAAAACCCAAGTGTATTGGGACAATGCTCTAACCAATTGAGCTACCTGGCCAGGGCTTAAAAGCTTTCTTGACTTTGCTTTCCCATTTGGAGCTGCCCGATGTTTGGAACTGAATTATGGTTTGAGGTAGGGATCCAAATACACTTTCTTCCGCCCAAACCGGTTTGGCTCAGTGGATGGAGCGTCGACCTGCGGACTGAAGGGTCCCGGGTTCGATTCCGGTCAAGGGCATGTGCCTTGGTTGCGGGCACATCCCCAGTGGGGAGTGTGCAGGAGGCAGCTGGTCGATGTTTCTCTCTCATTGATGTTTCTAACTCTCTATCTCTCTCCCTTCCTCTCTGTAAAAACTCAATAAAATATATTAAAAAAACAAACAAACAAAAAAATACACTTTCTTCCAACGGCCATCAACAGACCCAGCACCATTTGTTGAAAAGACCATCCTTTCCCCACTGCTCTGCCAGTTGTTATGTTTGACATAAATAACATAGCCACATACTCCAGTATTCAAAAGGGCAAAAAGATATTCAGAAGAATTCCTCTTCCTGCCCACAGCTTCCATTCCTCTAGTTAACATTCTTTATCTCTAGGAAGTTATCTGTTTCTTTTCCAAGGTTTTATGCAGAGACGAGTAAATATACATAATTACTCCCACCCTTCCCCCCTTTTTACATAAACAGCACACGAATTCTGTTCTACATCTGTATTTTATTTTCACTTGCGGATAGGAAACTCTCTCTATGATATTATGTGAGCAAATATCCTTTTGGTTATTGTTGTTTGGGGTCTGTCATGGTATGAATGGGACACCATTTCTTTAGCTAATCATCGCTGATGGAAAACTAGGTTTTTCCCTCTTTTCTATAGTCAAGGCTTAGTGAATAGCTATGTCTGCTTCTCATTCTGCACATGTGGATGAGTGGCTCTCGGGAGAAATTCTTGTAAGTAGAATAAGTGAATCAAAGTGGGGTGCATTTGCTTTTTGAGGGATATTTGCAGACTGAGCATTTAATGTGGGGGAACAGGCATCATACCCTAACCCAGTGGTTCTCAACCTTCCTAATGCTGCGACCCTTTAATACAGTTCCTCATGTTGTGGTGACCCCCAACCATAAAATTATTTTCGTTGCTACTTCATAACTGTCATTTTGCTACTGTTATGAATTGTAATATAAATATCTGATATGCAGGATGTATTTTCATTCTTAAAAATTGAACATAATTAAAGCATAGTGATCACAAAAACAATATGTAATTATATATGTGTTTTCTGATAGTCTTAGGCGACCCCTGTGAAAAGGTCGTTCGACCCCCAAAGGGGTCACAACCCTCAGGTTGAGAACCGCTGCCCTAACCCTTGAATCTCCCTAAGTCTTTATTGCATGCCAACTATATCCTGGGCACCTACGTGGGGGGGGGTGGGGGATGAGTGACGTAAACCATCACCCCACTGTGTGACTGCCAGCTGAGGTAAAGGCTCTGAAAGAAAGAGCTGTAGTTCTAAGAGCCTAGCAGATACCTGCTAGGGCTGGAGGAGGAAAGGAAAGGCTCCGTGAAGGAGGTGATGGTTAAGACCAAATAGGAAGAATGATTAGAGATTCTCCAAGTAGAAGTGGACACATAGAATAGCAGGACATTCCAGGCTAAGAGAATAGTGGTACAAAAGTTTTCTATGTCTGTGTAACAAAAAGCCCCAAAGTCTAGTGGCTTAGAACAATACCCATGTATTATCCTTCAGGGTTTGTGTGGGTCATGAGGGTACAGGCAGATATTGGCCGCGGCTACCATCATCTGAAGGCTTGACTGCGGCTGGAGAAGCACTTCTCACGTGGCTCACTCACCTGGCGGAGAAATTAGTTCCTCTTCCTATGGACCTCCCTGTAGGGCTGTTTGAGCATCTGTACAATGTGGTGAGGGTGTCTGGCTTCCTCCATGAGAACAAGCTTGTGTTGTGATGGCTTGTATGGCCTACTCTCAGGAGTCACATGCCTTTCCTTGTTCCGTATTCTCTTGGCCACACAGACCGGCCTTGATTCTGCGGGAGACGACTCCACAAGGGCATGAATCCTGAGAGGCAAGAGATGTTGGGGGCCCCATTAGAGGCTGGCTACCACAGGTCTTAGGCAAGAAGGGGCTGGAAGTAACCAGGATATAGCTCAGCTGGGGTGTGCCAAGGAGTGAGTGGCAGGGCTAGGTTTGCAGAGGTTGGGGTTACCCTAAGTGCACTGAGAAGCCATCTAGGAGTGTGGGATGGGCTAGGGAGCAGATGGCAGGATCAGATTGGGATTCTGAAAAGATCCCTCCCACAGCCATGTGGGGAAGAGGTGGGGGAGGGCTGAATGGCAGCCTGGGCAGGATGCTGGGCCAGTGCTTAGGAGAGAGGGGAAGGTGGCCTGGGCCAGGGAAGCTCGGCTAACTGACTCAAGGACTGTTTGAAAAACAACCCACCTAGCTTGGCCGCAATCCTTGAGGCTGCCGGGCTTTGCTCCAGGCGAGAGACCTTGGTGGCTGTGACTAATTCCCCAGCATGTGGGCATGACTCAGCGCCGACCTTCTGGCTGACCTTGGCTCGAGAGTGTGACAACCCCCTCACCAGCCCTAGCACTGATGCTGGACTCTTCCTCCTTGTAACTGGGGGCTAGAAGCAGGGAGCTTGGGCCTGACAAGCCTTTTCTCGCGAGGGATTTGTGAACACGACCAAGAGGTGGAGGTGGAGTGAATGCCCACAAGAGCTGAACCTGGTGTCTTCTGGAAGTTCCAGTCCTGCTAAAGGGAGGAGCCCATTTCTAGGTGGGGGAGGGGGCGTCTGGAGGCCCAACCAGTCACTGTGGAGGTTCCTGAAGCCATGAGTATCCTTTCTCCATTGATTTAGCTGATATATTTGTAGCTAAAAACTCTGGAATGAAGCAGGTGACTCATGGATTAGAGACAAACCTGAGCTGATTTGGGCCTCAGTTTCCCTGTTTGTAAGAGGGAAATTACGTTGTTCTGGGGGAGAAAACGGCTTTATACCTGCCAACATTTGCATCGGGTACCTCCCATGTCCTGTATATTAATTCAGCTGCGATTTAGATTCCTATGGACGAGTCCTTGGAGCATCAGCTGTGAAGGAGGCAGACCAGCACTTGCCATCTGGAGCTCACAACCTTTGCAGGGATTGGCCCACCATCTGTTTTGGTCAATACAGCCCAGGAAGGATGCCGGACTTTTACTGGAAGAGCCATACCTCTTCACTGATGTATTGTCTATGGCTGTTTTCATGCTGTCATGGCAGGAGTGAGTGGCTGCAACAGAGATAGAGGCCCCACAAAACCGGAAACATTTACTATCTGTTCCTTTATAGAAAAACCTGCTGATCCCTGCTCTGTTCGAATGGAGCCGACAGACTACAATAGATGTAAAGAGAATCTCTGACAATAGATGCTACGAAGGAACTGGGTAATAGGATAGAGTGACTAGTGGTGGTGAGGGTTGCTTCCAGGTGGGCAGGGAAAAGGCTTTGGGTAGCAGCAAACTTTGAGCTGTGTGACTCTCCCAGAAGAGTAGCCTGGGCGCCCTGGCCAGTGTGGCTCCGTGGGTTGGAGCATCGTCCCCAAACACACCAAAAGGTGGCGAGTTCAATTCCCAGTCAGGGCACATACCCAGGTTGCAGATTTGATCCCTGGTCAGGACACGTAGGGGAGGCAGTGGATTGATATTTCTCTCTCGTACTGATGTCTGTGTGTCTCTCTCTCTCTAAAAAAAAAAAAAAAAATCCTCAGGAGAGGATTTTAAAAAAAAGTGGCCTGGACAGAAGTGACAGCAAAGGCCCTGGGGCACAGAAGAACTTGAGAGACTAAAAGTGGGTCAAAGCTGGAGCTCAGTGAGGAAGGAGGAGACGCCTTTAGGCAGGACTCTGTAAATGGAGTAAAATACTTCGATTTTAGTTCCAGGGCTAAGTTTTCGTTCTAGGGCTATGAGAGTTTTAGTGGGGAAGAGGAAAACGGCGTGTTCCAAAAAATTTTTTTAAAGCTCTTTGGATACAGTGTTCCGGGGGAGCAGAGAGAAGGCTGCTAGAATCGTCCGGGTGAGTGATGATGGCAGTCCTGGCTGAGGTGGTGGCAGAGGAAATAAGCAGAAAGACCTGGGCTACATTTCAGAGGAAGAAAAGAGATTCCCCATGTCTTGCATGTGAGGGGAGGAGACCAATTAGAGATGACGTCTGGCTTTTTGCCCCTGAGCCACTTGAGAGCAGGTCCAGTTGGGCTGGAAGCCCAGCTTTGGCACCAACTCGTTCGGGCTCTTGAGCAAGTCTTTAGGTCCCCGAGCCTTTGCCCCTTCTGTAAAATGGGTCAATTATCTGCTGCAAAAGGATTATGAAGGTAACTCACCTGAGGGGAGCCTCCAATAAATGCAGCAGCTGGTCTGCTTATGTGTCTCCGCTTCCCTCGTCTCCCTTCTGGTCCTATGAGCACCCCTTCTCCTAAGGTGGGCTAGGGGCCCAGATGCAGGCTTCTGACAGGTCTATGGGACTTGAGCCTCACTCTGGTCAGATTGTCTTCTATCTGCTACCCCCTTGCTGCCCCTCTCCTCAGTCCAATTCCCCCAGTGTGTCCCTTTGGCATCCCGGGACCTGACAGCAGGCTGTTTGGCATGCAGGCTCTCGCCAAAGACACCAGAGTTCATGGTCCCTGAGTTTATGATCTTGGGTAAGCAGCGTCTGAGCCAGGCTCCTTGGTAATAACTATCCTCGGCCATGGGAAATGGGGTCCTGACATCTCCCTTAATGCTTAAGAATTAGATAACTTCTCTGAAGAGCCGGGTACAGTACATACATGTTGATTAAATATTAAATTAATGGTTATTAACTTTAGTTCTAATGTTTCCATTCTCCTGGATCTTGCCATGTGTGGGTAACTCATAGCAACCAGAGGGCCTAAGGTCCACTTCTGGCCAGGCTCCCCCCCCCACCCCCCAGCTGTTGTGGAAACTAGGTGTATGTTTGTGTTTATGAACACATTCGCTTACACATGTTGTAATATAAAAATGTAAAACTATATCATGATTTTTAACTCTGTTCTGGTGCTTCTGTTGTTGTGATGGCAGATAAAGTACTCTTAAAAAAAAAAACCTCAGCCCTAAAAACAAACAAAAATTAACAATAAGATAGGCCTGTTTTTTGTGGGGTTTTTTACTGTGGTTAAAAAATAGTATTTGCCATCTACAGTATTTACATACTGTCCTTTCATACAGAACAGTATTGTTAACTACATAATACTGTTGTGCAACAGATCTCTGGCACTTTCATCTTGTAAAACTGAAACTCCGCTCTATTGAACAACTTCCCTTTTCTGCCCTCCACTAGCCTCTGGTAATCACCATAGTTCTTTCTCTACCTGAGTTTGACTACCTTACATAATCTCCAACAAGTGGGATCATACAGTCTTTGCCGTTTGAGACTGGTTTATTTCACTGACCATAATGACCTCAAGGTTCATCAGGTTGTTTCAAAGGCCAGGATTTCCTTTTCTTTTTAAATTAATAATCTTGAAATGAGCATCATTTATAGGTTATTAAGAGAAAAACAATTACACAAATCATTTGTTTAAAACCCTTTTAAAAATCTATATTGATTGAATTGACTGTTACTATGGAGATGGAAGTATTGACTTTTGACAACTTGTCCAAGAATTAGTTCTTTTGTTGTTTTATTGTTGACACTATTACAGATGGCCCCATCTGCCCTTCCCCTTTTGCTCACCCCCACCCACCCTGCCACCCTTCCCCTGGCCTTCATCACTCTCTTGTCTGGATCCATGGCTTATGCATATATGTTCTTTGGCTGATTCCTTCACCTTCTTTCATCCAGCCCCCCTCCCCCACTTCCCTCCTACATTTGTCAGTCTGTTCCATGTACCCATGCCTCTGATTCTATTCTGTTCATCAGTTTATCCTGTTCATTAGGTTCCACATAAGTGAAACTACACGGTACCCGTCCTTCTCTGGCTGGCCTGTTCTACCCAGCACAATAATCTCCAGGTCCATCCATGCTGTCACAAAGGGCAAGAGTTCCCTCCCTTCTACAGCTGCACTGAATGATATTAACAACAATTAATATTAATAATATGAAGGCTGAATGATATTCCATTGTATGTATGTGCCACATTTAAAAAATATTTTTTATTGATTTCATTGAGGAAGGGGGAGGGAGATAGCAACATCAATGATGAGAATCGCCGATCACTGCCTCCTGCGCACCTCCCAATGGGGACTAAGCCTGAAACTCGGGCATGTGCCCAGGCATGACCTCCTGGTTCATAGGTTGATGCTCAACCACTGAACCATGCCAACCGGGCTATGCCGCATTTTCTTTTTTTTCTCTTTTAAAACATATTTTTGATTTCAGAGAGGAGAGATAGAAACATCAATGATGAGAGGTAATCATTGATCAGCTGCCTTCTGCATGCACCCTACTGGGGATTGAGCCTGCAACCCAGGGATGTGCCCTTGACTGGATTCGAATCTGGGACCCTTCAGTCCTTGAGCTGATGCTCTATCCACTGAACCAAACTGGCTAGGGTGCCACATTTTTAATTCACTCATCTAGCAATGGGCATTTGGGTTGCTCCCACCTTCTGGCTGCTGTGAATAATGATGCAGTGATCAAGCTGGGTATGCAAATATCTCTTTAAGATCCTGTTTTCAATTCTTCTGAATATACACCCAGAAGTGGGATTGCTGGATCATATGGTAGTTCTATTTTTATTTTTTGAGGAACTTCCACTTTTCTGTAGCTGCTGCATCATTTTACATCCCTATTAACAGTGCACATGGGTTCCGAACTCTACATCTTTGCCATATTTCATTTTGGATAATGGCCTTCCTCATGGGTGTGAGATTATATTTCATTGTGGTTTTGATTGGCATTTCCCTGATGGTTAGTGATGTTGAACATCGTTTCATATGCTTATCGGTCATTTGTGTATCTTTTTCTTTTTATTGATTTCAGAGAGGAAGGGAGATAGAAACATCAATGATGAGAATCATTGATTGGCTGCCTACTGCACGCCCCCTACTGGGGATCGAGCCCGAAACCTGGCATATGCCTTTGACTGGAATTGAACCCAGGACCCTTCAGTCCGTAGGCTGACACTCTATCCACTGAGCCAAACCAGCCAGGGCTGTGTATCTTTTATTTCGAAAGAATTTGAAATGTGTATTCAAATCCTTTCCCATTTTTTAAATCGGGTTATTTGAGTTGCAGGAGTTCTTTATATACTCTGGATGTTAACTCCTTATGGCATATATGGATTGCACATATTTGCTCCTATTCCATAGGTTGCCATTTGTTGATTGATTCCGTTGCTGTGTATAAATTGAATTTGATGTAGTCCCATTTGTCAATTGTAGTTTTTATTGTTTGTGCTTTTGGCACCATAATCAAGAAATCATTGTCAAGCCCAGTGTTAAGCTGCCCCCTCCCCCCCCAGGTTTTCTCCTAGGAGTTCTATAGTTTCAGGCCTTACATTTAGGTCTTTAATCCATTTGAGTTAATTTTTACATATGGTATTTAAGTAAGGGTCTAACTTCATTCTTTTGCATATGAATATCCAGTTTTCCCAGCAGCATTTGTTGAAAACTATCCTTTCCCCAGGTTCTGGTGCTTTAAAACAAAACAAAAAAAAAACCCTTTTATTTATTTATGCCCTCACTCCAGGACATTCTTAGAGAGAGGAAGGGAAAGAAATCGGTTGCCTCCGGTGCACTCAAACCTGCAATCCAGGTATGGGCCGACCTGGAATGAACTGACAGCCTTCTGGTGCACTGGAGGACGCTCAACCCAACTGAGCCACTCAAACAAGGTTCTGGTGCTTTTTTAAACATACAGACTGTACAAGTGGCCCGGGTCTCTGAGATCCTTGGTGCTAGTTATACATCCTGATAATTTTTTGGAGTAGATGCTATTAGCCACCCCCCCCTTTTTAATATTTCCATTGATTTTTAGAGAGTGGAAGGGAGGGAGGAAGGAGGAAAGACAGAAACCTCAATGCAAGGAGGGAGGAAGGAGGAGAGAAAGACAGAAACCTCAATGGGAGAGGCTAATCAATTGCCTCTGGCATGCACCCTAATGGGAGCGAGGATAGAACCTACAACCCAGGTATGACCTTGCCACAACCCTTCCGTGCGTGTGTGGGCTGATGCTCTAAACCCACCGGCCAGGGCTAGCTCCTTTTTATTTATTTGTTTTTACGGATTTCAGAGAGAAAGGGGGGGAGAGCGCTAGACATATCAATGATGAGAATCATCGATCGGCTGCTTCCTGCACGCCCACAACTTGAGCATGTGCCCTGATCGCAACCCTTCAGTCCGAAGGCCCACTCTATCCACTGAGCCAAACCAGCTAGGGCCCACCCAGCTCCTTTTTATAGATGAGGACACTAAGACTGGATCCAAATAACCTGCCCAAGGTCCTTATAGCGAGCAAACAGGTAGAGATGGGATTGGAGCTGCGGACTTGAATTCAAGGCCTACACGCTTGAATCCCGTGGGGACCCTCCCTTTTTTATTCCCAGCATACTGGAAAGAATGAATGAATGACTGTCTCTCTGGCAAAAAGCTTGGAGCAAACGCTGGATCTTGGACAAGTCCACTGCTCCACGCGGGGGTGCACATCCGTCTGGCGCATGCGCACCCCCTGGGCACAGCCGGCTCCACTCCGTCTGCCCGCTACTGTTACAAGCTCTCTCAGCATGGTACGTCCCGCCTTCCCCCATGCCCGGGCCGGGGTGGTACACGCCACCTCCTCCAGCCCCTCCCTGTCGGTTTCCGCGCGAAAAGCCAGAGCTGCCTGTGCTGCCGACACCTCTGTTGCAGCTTCCAAGATGCCTGCCCGAACCGCCCCGGCCCGGGTGCCCGCGCTGGCCTCCCGGGCCATCTCACTGCCGGACGATGTCCGCAGGCGGTAGGTGCTGCAGGGGACCGCGAGCTCCGTGGGGTGGCATGTTGCTGGGGGTGCAGGGGTTGCTTCCCCTCTGGGTAGCCCTTGGCGGCTGCTGACAGACGGGCGCGCATGCGTGGGGTTGCTTGGCGGCAGTTGGCGCGGGTAGGGTGGGACTTCCGGTCGCGCGCGTCTCGGGCAGTTTGGCGCCAAAATGGGCCAAGGCCCTTCACAGTTCCCTCGTGACTGGAAACTTGGGGTCTCCTCTGACCTCGGAGTAGAGCAAACTCCGAGTTTGCTTCAGGGAATCCCTTTCTCAGGACAGCCGCCCGGCTCCTGTCTCCAGCTTGGTCGTACAGGAAGTGGGCAGCCCACGGCCGAACCACCACTCGGCCCGGCACTTTGGCCTCCACTTCCGGTGCACACTGCGGGGGTGAGGGGGTCGAGGGGCCTGGCCGGCCTGGCTCTGGGGTGTTTCAGGGGACCCTCTTGGCGTCCCGTACCAACACCCCGATGGCGACCACCAAAGACAGACATCGCCGGTTAGGGCTCGGGTGCAGCGGGCTCAGGTTTGCGAGTCCCGTCTTTTGGGGGAGGCTCCCCCCACCGGGGCTGTGGCAGCATGAAGAAGACTGAGCAGGCTTTTCTGGTCGTTCCGCTCCTCGTGTGGCTCCGTTTGTTGGAGCTCCGTTCTGGGCTCGATTCCCCGATAGGACACCTACTTCGGTTGCGGGTTCGATCCCCAGTCGGAGCGCATGCAGGCGGCAACCCATTGATGTTTCTCTCTCTCTCTCTCAAAATCAGTTTTATCCTCGGGTGAGGATAAAAAAAAAAACACAACAAACAAAAATTGTCAAAACACTTTTATTTTTTTAAAACTCTTTGTTGTTGAAAGTTATTACATATGCCCTCCTTCCTCCGCCATCCAAATACTTTTTAAGCACAGAGCGGGGAGTGTTTTTGAAGAATCTGTGTCTCTATTCCCCCCCTCCCCCCAAGATATGGCGCGACTTAGACTGGAAATGGGATTCGGAATGCCTCTGGCTTCATGATTTAGACCCAACCGGGGGTGGTGGGGCCTGGCCGCCTTTTTCCGATGGTGAGCGCTCTACCTCTCCTGGTCTGTTTGGGCCAGTGTCATGAACAAGCTAGGGTTTGTGAATATTCATTATATAATCCTTTATATAACGAATATTCAGTATATATTCAATATTCATTGTAAAGTGGATATTCGAATAGGAGCGCATGGGAACGTGCCCGCCGCGGAAAGGCCCCGCGTTAGCTTTGTGCCGGCTGACCTCGCCGGTCGGGGCTGCACTGGGCCAGGCCGCCGCCTGGCTGGACTAAATGGGAACGTTCGGTGAGTGTTCCAATCCGCCGTTTACTCTGGGTTCCATATTAACTTGGAACTGGAATGGCCTACTGTAGGTAGGCAGCTTTTTCAGGTTTCCGCTTTAGACCCTGTGGTAGACGATGAAATCGTCAGCGTGTGAGATCCGCTCAGCGGCCTTTCGTATGAATTTCGGTGTGCAGCATACACAGCCGTGGCATCAAACACTCTCTTAAGCTCAGATTTGTACACGCAGGTAGATCGCCTCTTGAGTGATGAAAATTAGAGGTGAGTGACCTGTTATATGACGGGAACCTAAGTCCGTTAGAATACTCTAGGAGCAGAGGTTAGAACCTGTCCTTAGTTTTGCATTTCTGTCATTTTTGCTAACGTGTGTTTATATGGCAGCTTCTTTTAAAATGCGCATATAGTTAGTTCCATTACATATGTAAAGAAACTACAAAGTATCTTCAATGATTGGTCTTTAACTTCTTTACTGAGGTATTACTTACCTGTCCTGGCCGGTTTGGCTCAGCGGATAGAGTGTCAGCCTGTGGACTGAAGGGTCCCGGGTTCGATTCTGGTCAAGGACATTTGCCAGGGTTGTGGGCTGATCCCCAGTGAGGGGGCGTGCAGGAGGCAGCTGATCAGTGATTCTCATTATTGATGTTTCTATCTCCCTCTCCCTTCCTCTCTGAAGTCAAGAAAAATATATTTTTTTAAAAAGTGTTACCTTGCCGAAACCGGTTTGGCTCAGAGGATAGAGCGTCGGCCTGCGGACTGAAAGGTCCCAGGTTCGATTCTGGTCAAGGGCATGTACCTGGGTTGCGGGCACATCCCCAGTGGGAGATGTGCAGGAGGCAGCCGATCGATGTCTCTCTCTCATCGATGTTTCTAACTCTCTATCTCTCTCCCTTCCTCTCTGTAAAAAAATCAATAAAATATATTAAAAAAAAAAAAAGTGTTACCTTAAGTCTCCTAAAAAGCACGCTTTTCAGGACAAGACACATTTTTCCACTTGATTTTTCTTACGCAGCCCAAGCTGCCATCATTTGCATAGAAAAGTGATAGTCTTCCTGTTGCCACTCAGGTCTGTTTTCTGTAAGTGGGAACTCATCCTCTTACAAATAAGTTGGATACGGTGGTTTTCCTGCCCCTTTCCTCGCTGCTCCCCTCCCCCCCACTGTCGTACACTTGGCCTGAAGTCCAGAATTCCTGTCCTGTTGCCTGAGTCATCGTGTGTTCTTCCCGCAAGCCACACAGGCCGCCTTTGGGGTTCTCGGGGCTTGAGGCCATGCAGAGTGACCAACGTGAGGCTGGGCTTCGTCCCTTTGTTCTTAAGATGGTATTCAGAAAGACGGCCGCCTTCCCCGCCTTCCCCCACACTGGAGAAGGGTGTTCGTGCACCCTGCACGCTGCCTTGCTGCTCTGGAGTTGATTTGTCCTCGGAGCATGTTTGCCTTATTCATTGTATCTGCTGTTGGTGCACAGTAAACTCTCACATGCTGGCATGTCAAACTTTCCCCTTGGATGAAGCCTGGGTTTACACATGATTCTAGCAACCTGGGCACAACTCCAATTAGCCTTTGTAATTATGACAGCTTTCTTATCTGCTAGTCATTCTGAGATTAGATTAAGCCAGGTCTTGAAGTTCTGAACCAGTTTCATGGCTCCTGCTGAGTAGGTATTGGATGGGGAAAAATGGACTTAACCTCTTCTGGTTCTCCCTGCAGTAGGATTCTAGAGGTGCAGACCACGGGTTCAAATCCCACCCCGCCACTTGCAGCTGTGTGGCTAACCTCCTGGTGCTTTGTCTGTAAAATGGGGTGGAGGGGCCTGTCCTGCCAAGGCATTATGAAGACTAACTGAGCTGGTAGGTGTAAACATGGTAGAGCAGCACCTGCCTGGAAACCTACAGTGCTTAGCTGGGTAATTTATTTCCATTAGAGGAACATAATTTAAAGCATTAACATGTTCCTCTTATACTGAGGCAGGTAGTAGCATTGTATAGAGATGAGATATATGCCTGCTTATTCCAAACTTCCTTTTTTCCTGGCTTCTTGTAGAATGGTCTGGACTTGCTCTTTCAACTGCCACCTTAGCTTTTATGCCACTGTCCGCTCCTACTCTTGCTCAGGCATCCTTTTCTTTAGGGTTGAGGTGGCATTCTATCTTCTTTCAACTCAGTGTATTGCTTCTTAATTCTTTGTATCCTTGGTTTTTGTGTTTCTGTCTACTACCAGGGAGCCTCTTTCTTGCCTGATTTCCTCACTTCCCTATCTCCTTTCTTTCATTCTTGGCCCCTTATCTCTTCTGGTTGTGGGACTTCTACTTTCAGTAATTGGGGTGCCTGCTGGAGATAAAATACCTCCAGTTCTGATGCCTCACTGGAGAGCCAGTTTTAATTACTAGCTGCTGAATAGCCATCAGGGTAGCTGCTGTTCACAGAAACATCATTTCTAAAACTCATAGCCTGGTTACTCTTTTTCCCCACCAAAGAATTCTGAATTTCTGATACTTATTCAATTTCTTTTATTTCCCATCACCATTAATCCCCCCATGCCCTCTTCCATTTCCACCCACTACCTCTCTCTGATACTGTATTATTATTTTTTTTGATACTGTATTTTTAAAACTACATATATATTTTAATATATGTTTATTGATTTCAGAGAGGAAGGGAAAGGGAGAAAGAAATAGAAACATCAGCCGAAACCGGTTTGGCTCAGTGGATAGAGCATCGGCCTATGGACTGAAAGGTCCCGGGTTCGATTCCGGTCAAGGGCATGTACCTGGGTTGCGGGCACATCCCCAGTAGGAGATGTGCAGGAGGCAGCTGATCGAGGTGTCTCTCTACTCGATGTTTCTAACTCTCTATCCCTCTCCCTTCCTCTCTGTAAAACATCAATAAAATATATTTAAAAAAAAGAAAGAAATAGAAACATCAGTGATGAGCGAGAACCATTGATTGGCTGCCTCCTGCATCCTTTACCTGGGGATTGAGCCCCAAACCTGGGCATGTGCCCTGACCTGGAATCAGACTGTGACCTCCTATTTCATAGGTTGATGCTCAACCATGGAGCAATACCAGCTGGGCCCGAGGACATTTTTCCACTGAAGTTTAGAGTGGACCAGAGGGAGGAGGAGGGAGAGAAGGAGAGAAAGACACATATCAGTGTGACAGAGATACGTTGGTTAGTTGCCCTCTGTACCCAGGTTGGGGGTCGAACCTGCAACCCAGGTAGGTTCCCTTGGTCAGGAATTAAACCTGCAACCCTTTGGTGCATGGGCTGACACTGACCAACACTATTCAGGGCTCAAGTTTAACTTTTGACTCCTCCAAACTTAACTAATAGCCTACTGTCTGTTTGTTTTTTTATATTTTTATTGATTTCAGAGAGAGAAACATCAATGATGAGAGAGAATCATTGATTGGCTACCTCCTGCATGCCCCCTACTGGGGATCGAGCCCGCAAACTAGGCATGTGCCCTTGACCGGAATCGAACCTGGGACCCTTCAGTCCACAGGCCAACGCTCTGTCCACTGAGCCAAAGCAGCTAGGGCTGATAGCCTACTGTTAACCAGAAGCCTTAAGGATAACATAAACAGTTGAATAACACATATGTTGTATGTTACCTTTTAACTAGAGGCCCCGTGCATGAATTCATGCACTGGTGGGGTCCCTCGGCCTGG